TTGTTACCGTGATACTGGTAGCGTAGCCCGACGTCAATGAAATGGACGGAAGAAAACAGCAATATCAGCAGAAATGATTGGAAAAGTAAAGAAGCGACTTGATCGAAACCCGCGTCGCAGTGGCCGAAAAATGAATCGTGAGCTGAACATATCGCATTATTCCATTCCAAAAAGTGCCAGAACATACACCGCAACAGAAAGAAAGTAGACTCAAAAGAGCTAAAGAGTTGCTTCGCTTGGCCGAAAGTGGTGAACTGCCGAATATGGGTTTCTTCGATAAGAAAACATTAGTTGTCCAGCACTTTATAAACAAACAAAATGATCGTGTTTACTTGAATATAACGAAAATACATATAAACAGAAAAACATTTATTCGTCTCATAAACGTGGCGTGAAGCAAACGTCTCAAATGATATTTGACACTTCTGTTTCCGTTCCCACATACACAGACGGTCATTCAGTGCCGCGTCAGCAAAAAAGTTCGCTACAATGAATGGCAAACCAACAAGAAATATATTTTTAAGTTAGTCTTAAGACCAAAAGCAAAGAATAAAGACATCAAACAGCTCGTTTGTTAATTTAATTGAAGGTTTTATTTCTAAAGAAAAATACCCATTACATAAGTCATGCTCCACCCAAGAATGTTTACAAAATGAGGTTCTTCGCTTCATTTCTAGCGCACAATGGCCACCAAAATCTCCGGATACCAATCCGTTGGACTATTGTGTCTGGAGTATTTTGGAAAGCAAGGTAGGCACTAAAAAATACCAAAGTGTCGATCACCTCAAGTAAGCGCTTCACCAGTAATGGGCCAAAATACCGAAGAGCAACATTGGGACAGCGTATGACGGTTTCATTTGCTGGTTGAAGGCCATAGTTCGTGCCAAAGGTGACCATTTCGAACAAATCTAAACTTATTCTAAAATTTGATGCTATTTCCGATATTTTTGATTTCATTCAATCAAATTAAAAAAAAAATTAAAAATATGGCGTTTGACTTTGTTGCAGTTTTTTTATCTCACCCTCTAATTTAATGCTTGAAGACTATTTCATGAAAACATTGACCAACAACTGCGCCTCAAACGATCTATCCTTTAGTTCAATTTAGGCAGATATCCCACGACCCTAAAAAAGTAAATGTATAAGTGATATCCGTCTATCTGTGGAGATCACCCTAACTTCCGAACAAAATGAAGTAAGTTGAAAAATCTTACTCAGATGCGTGTTAGGTCTGCAGAATTTTTAGACCACATATAACTGTACCGACAGATTTATGGTTTTTTTTGGGCGTTGTATTGTAGTTTTAACCCTAATTTGCTGTATGTGTTTCCCATTATGTAAGAAACATCCTTGCATAGAACTGTCAATGTGGGTCAGAGTTTTGGTTTAGTCTCCACATAACTGTACCTCCAGATATTCCGAATTTTGATGATTTGTGTCACACTTTTCAACAGAAACGTTTCAAATTGTGAATTTGAAGTTCCTAATGAGTATTACAACAACAAGTAAATGGCAGGCCTACGTCTTGGTATATCCCCCATATAACGATACCACCTGATAATTGGAATTTTGATGATTTTAGCGACAAATTTCATATTTGAAGTCCGAAATCGGTACTATGGCAGAAAATTATAAGCCTTTATGCCAATTTATGCTGGTCCATGTCTTCATAAAGCTCCTATATAACGGATTTGTTCAAGCGGTATTTTTTGACGATTTTACTCTGATGTTTGTTTGCAATGCAGGACTTTTGGTATTGAAAATGGGCTATATAGGTCCACTTTTCACCGGCAATGTATCAAATTTAGAATTTGAAGTTCTTAATGGGTACTACATCCTATGACAAAAAATTACACAGAAACGTCCATGTCTTCGTTTAGCCCCCATATAACGGTACATCCATATATTCGGTATTTTGATGATTTTAGCGACTTTATTCACCGGAATATGTGTCAAATGTAGTGCTACAGCCTGTGAACGAAAATTTATGATTTTAGCAGAACTTTTCAAAGGATCTATTTTTTGGTAAAAAATAGATTATTAGTTTGATTTGTAGTAGTTACTATTGACGTAAATTTATTAGGAAACTCATGGTTTGGTAATGGGGATTAAGAGTCCTATTCATTTTTATACAAACCAAAATTAATTTGAACACGATAATTCTATCAACCCATACCATCATCATTAATTACAATAAATGTATAACACTCTGTGTTCTACAAAAAACGTCGTACACAAAACAATAAATTAAACACTCACAATGTGATACATGATCGGCTAAATCTCAATATATACCAACAAGAAAGCAGCTCGTTTTATTAACTCTTGACAAATTCATTAAATTATTCTTCCACTTCCGTTTCACGAATAATTCATTTGCCAAAATGAATGATTAATTAAAACGTCGTCTCGGTTAATGTGGCCTCCTGCCGACGACATTCATGAACAAATTTTTGCAAAACACAACATGCAAAGTTCCTTAACCTTTTAATAGGTATCTTGTGAGTGGCATGTAGGCAGAAACGTGCAGAGTATTTTGATGGGAACATATTAACCAACAAAAAAAAACGATGTAACAACAAGCTCACACATTACCAACAGCATGGATGAACATCTCAGCATGTCTTAGCTTAGTTCAGAAGTCCCGTTGTTTCCATAAATTATGAATGCAAAATTCGGAGATCCTACAGGTAATTGTGTGAAACCCGAAAGGAGGGTTAATAAGAAAAAAAGTTAAAAAATAAGAAAAGGAACTTGTATTTTCGAGTTTATGCAAGCACTTAATTGTTCTGCATCAGACGCAAGGAAGCAAAAACATAGACGTATAAAGATAGGACAAGTCAGAATCAAAATATTACTTATGCTGCTGTCATTTCTAAGCCACTCGTCTGACAGCTGCTAAAATTATTCCAGTGACAGCTCATTATAATATTTACAAGCGTACAAAAGCATTTCCAAAAAAAAAGTTATTCGTAATGGAAATACAGCATGATAGTGTAATTTCTTTATATTTGGCTCGAAGACCACAAGTGGCTATCGTTAGAGCTCTCCAGCATTTAAATGTGAATAAATCTTTTGTGTCTTGTACTGGTAGCATAGCCCGACGTCAAGGAAGTGGATGGAAGAAAACAGCAACATCAGTTGAAATGATTCGAAATGTAAAGAAGCGACTTGATCGAAACCCGCGTCGCAATGGCCGAATAAAGGCTCGTGAGCTGAACATCACGCAATACTCTATTCGGCAAATATTGAAAAAATGAGCTCGGAAATTTATACCGCAATAGACTCAAAAGAGCTAAAGAGTTGCTTCGCTTGGCCGAAAGTGGTGAACTGCCGAATTTGGTTTCTTCCGATGAGAAAACATTCGTTGTCTAGCAGTTTGTAAACAAACAAAATGATCATATTTGCTTGCCAAAGAGGTCAGCTGAAAATGTGCACCTTCGGTTGGCCACCAGAACTCAAGCGCCGGCCGTGGTGATGGTGTAGGCCACCATAATAGCCGATGGTTGCTATCGGCTCGTATTAATCGACCGTGGCATCAGAATAAATGCCGAATATTGTCGCGAAAATATTCTGGAGGGTGTACTAAAGCCTTGGCCGCACACCTTGGGCATTTCAACAGGACTCAGCACCATCGCACTTAGCACTCACCACCCAATAATGGTTACAAGATGAGGTTCCTCTCTTCATTTACAGAGCACAATGGTCACCAGGTTATTCTGATACCAATCCGTTGGACTATTGCTTCTGGAGTATTACGGAAAGCAACGTTGGCACTAAAAAATGCTAAAGTGTCGGTCACCTCAAACAAGCGCTTCCCCGGGAATGGGCCAAAATACCGCAGAGCAACATTCGGGCAGCGTGTGACGGTTTTCCTAGGCCATAATCCATGCCTAAGTTGACCGATTCGAACAAATCTAAACTTATTCTAAAATTTGATGCCATTTCCGATATTTTTGCTTTCATTCAATAAAATTTAAAAAAAAAATGTAAAAATTATGGCGTTTGACTTTGTTACAGTGTTTTATCTCACCCTGTATGGGAGCTATAGCTATATCTGAATCGATTTTTAATGTACATGCTTCAAATTTGATGTACTTGCTTCTTGACTGTATTCTGTCGGATGTGTCAGAATTCAGATCATTTAAACTGATATTGGCCATTTGGTGCACGATAGACCCGAAATCGGAGCTATGTCTAAATTCAGACCGATTCTCACCAATTCCTTAGAAAAACAAATACTATTTGGAAAATTTCATCTTAATCGGATAATAGATGGGACCTGCATTTTGTTCACAAAAATACGTGGACAGATGGACGGACAGAATAAATAAATCGACTGAGAAAGTGTTTCCATGAGGATTCTCGGAACTAACTATGGCTCTATTTCGCTTCCTTCTCCATGTTACAGACAAATGCGCAAAGACAAATTACAATTAGAAATAGAAGAGTAAGGCTCGAGTGGAGGATAAATAAGAAAAGGAAATTTAGAAGGTAAGGTGGAGATGTTGTATTTTCGAGTTGTCGCAATCAGAGTTGCGGAGTACTCAGACTACGGAGACATCTTTATTAAAAAATTCGACTGGGAATATAAAATCCTTTATTGATATCTGTAATATTTTTGAATGTAAAACAAATGGATTTCAAGGAATCTTATAGTACGTTTATATATATGAGGGTTAACCCACTGGATTTGGATTTAAATTGTCATATCCATTACTTTTACTTCAAATAAATCCCCTCAAAATAGGTTAACCGTACAAAAACTTCTAACGTAAACATGGCATTAATGCGAAAATTGCCAAAAGTGTGGAAGAGAGGGGAACTTGCCCACTGTTTAGGATACTTTACAATGTAAACTTAAAAAAAGCCACGTGTGTCTTCAATTTTTGACTCTACTTTCATAATCTGCAGGATTTTTCCTGTAATTATTTTTTGTGTTGCACAGTGTTAAATTCTCCCTACAAATCATATGTTAAATTCATAAAAACCATTTTAATTTCGAATTGACTATATAATTTATTAAAAAAATAATATCTCTATAAACATTTGTTAAATATCAATATTCCTAGGTAAATATTGACCTCTTTGGCAAAATAAACGACAGAGCAGCAGCGACTACAAAAGAAATGAAAACAAAAAACAAATCAAAAAACAATATTTTAAATGAAAAAAAAAAACTTCACTCACATATCAACACCGATCCGACCATTGCAAATGGTGGTATACAGCCAATTTCAATTAACACCGGAAACATTAAATTTCCCGACAAGGCGCCCAAGCGTCCGAACATCATCGACAGTGCAACAATCATTGTCCTGTTAAAACACAAATGCAATCGAATGCCATTATCGTTTTCATTTAAATTTAATCAGCGGTATGGACATGAATCCTCTCACAACTACTTACCTTAATGTAGTTGGAAATAAGCCAACCACCATTCCCATCAGTGAAGATGTCGATATGCCACACAAAGTTATAAACATTGAGGATATAATTAATGTAGTCAAACCACTGCTGGACCAATACAGACTCAATCCCAATCCTCCGGATATCAGCAGACCATATGCTACAGAATGATAGGAATGTTAACTACTAGTTTCGAAGTTGATTCATCATCTGCTTCTTTATTTACTTAACAAGCGCTTGTTGCCCACAGCACGCACAATTAGTCCAGCAAAACAATAACCCACAATTCCCGAAATCGATACAATCATGTTGTTCATGTACATGTCAACTGAAACATTTTTGTGCTAAAATTTACCAAAAAATTAAATTTATAAAAATTACAAATTTGAATAATGTAAAAATTAGAAATATTTGGAAATCTTTTAGGATTAACTGTAAAATAACAAGGTAAATGACAGTATACGTGAAAAGAAATGAGATGGAGAGAGAGCAGTTGAGTAAGCAAGACAGTTATTTTCAAATTAACATTAATGTGCATTGGTTATTTTGACAAACCAACTCCGTGTTGGCGGTGTAGAAAAAATTTTAGGAAAAATAATGGAATGTATTATATGATATACAGGGTGAGATAAAAAACCGCAACAAAGTCAAACACCATAATTCTTAAATTTTTTTGAATTGGTATCCGGATATTTTGGTGGCCATTGTGCGCTGGAAATGAAGCGAGGAACCTCATTTTGTAACTATTCTTGTGTGGCGCGTGCTGAGTGCGATGTTGCTGAGCCCTCTTGGAATGTCCAAGGTCTGCGGCCAAAATGTTTGCGTGCCCAAGGCTATAATACACCATCCAGAATATTTTCGCGATAATATTCGGCATTTATTCTGATGCCACAGTCGATTAATACGAGCGGAGAGCGACCCTCGGCTATTATGGCGGGCACACCATCACCACGCCGGGCGCTTGAGTTCTTGAGTGGCCAACCGAAGGTGCACATTTTCAGCTGACTTCTTTGGCAAATAAAAACAATTATTTTGTTTGTTTACAAACTGCTGGGCAACGAATGTTTTCTCATCGGAGAAAACCAAATTCGGCAGTTTACCACTTTCGGCCAAGCGAAGCAACTCTTTAGCTCTTTTGAGTCTATTTTCTTTCTGTTGTAAGTTCTTGCACCTTTTATACCCTCCACCATACATAGTATGGAGGGTATATAAAGTTTGTCATTCCATTTGTAACTCATCGAATTAACAATTTTAAACCCAACAAAGTAAATATATTCTTGATCAGCGTCAAATTTTAAGACGTCCACCTGTCCGCCTGTTGTAATCACGCTACAGCCAAAACGAATTAAGATAGGAAGCAAAAATTTTGCACAGATCTGTCTTTTGTCTGCAGGCAGAACAAGTTCGAAGATGGCCTATATCGGTTCACGATATCGTATAGCCGCCATATAACTGTACCCCCCGATATTCTGTATTTTTAGGAATTTAGTCACATTTTTCAATGGATTTGTCTAAAATTACACACAAAGAGTTCTTTATGAGTAATTTACCCCCTGGAGGAGAATTGTCTAGATAGGTCCACAATATCGTATATCCCATATATAACGATACCCCCGATATTCGGTATCTAGATGATTTTATATACACTTTTCAACGGAATTTTCTGAAACTGCATACAAGGAGTTCCGTGTGAGTACTTTATCTGAGATAGAATTGTCTATATAAATCCGCAATATCGTATATGCCCCATATATGTTCACCTTCCGATATTCGGTATTTTTAAGATTTTAACAGAATTTTTAATGGATTTTATTTATTTATTTTATTTATTTATTTGTTATTTTTTTTAAATTTCTTAATTCATCCCAAATGGTGGATGGTATTTAAAGTTCGGCCGGGCTGAACTTACTGGTTTTTTACTTGTTGGAATTTCAATATTTGCCGAATGGAATATTGCGATTTTTCGCGCTTGAATTCCATTACGAATAACTTTTTTTCTGGAAAGTTCTCACCAAAATGCTTTTGTACGCTTGTAAACAGTGGCAGCTGAAATAATTTTAACAGCTGTCGGACGAGTGTCTGTAATTTGAAAATATTAGATACTTCCCTAATATTGTTAATGTTTCGGTCGCAGACACCATGAAGTCTTAAAGTACTAAGTGGTACTAAATTGGGTATTGGGTGAAGGGGTAGAGCTGAAATCTTGAAATTTGATATTTAGATTACTGACGGTATCTGTGTTTAAGATTTGGCGGTGGTTTGGAAATGCGTTTTATATTTGTATGTAAAGTATTAAAGGGTGCTAAATTTGATATTGGGTGAAGTAATAGGGCTGGGCTCAAATTTGATATAGACGTCACTATTGGTGTCTCTGGATAAGATATGGGGGGGCTGGGTTTGGAGATTCGTCACATATTTGTACGAAAAGTACTAAGTGGTACTAAATTGGGTATTGGGCGAAGAGCTATAGCTGAAGACCTGAAATTTAATATTGAGGTCGCTTTTTGTGTCTGTGGATGAGATGGTTTTGGATATGCGTACTATAATTGTGGTAAGTTTTACTAAATTTGGTAATGGCGAAGTTAAGGAGCTGAAATTCTGAAATTTGATATTTTCAAACAATTATAGTACCAAAATGGGGTCCAGAATGGAGAGAGGTAAATTGTTTTTAAAATGCTTACTAAATGTTACAAAATTTCATATTGGGTACAGGGATAGAGCTGAAACCATGAAGTCTAAGCCCTATCTAGCATTAACCATCCTACCAACTAAAAGCTTTTGACCTTTTGTGGGAGAGGTTCCGAAATGGTTGCCCAATAAGTCTAATATAAACATTACAACGAACAAGATGTTGACTATATGACTACTTTCTTCACAATTTATGAAATATGTAATAATTTTTGTAAAATTTTGAAATATGCGTGAGGTACCAGATGTATCGGACAAAAGTACACCACTTCATACAATACTGATAAAAATATTGGTATGTGCAAAATGTAAAGAACAAATGATAATCAAAATGTTGAATTTCTTTGGGAGAGGTACCAGAAGGAGTTGGCCGATAGACTCCAAATTCACTTCAGATCTCCGTGGAGAGAGAAAAGTATTGCTGACTTGCTTCGCAAGTTATAAAAGATATAAATATTGAAATTTGAAATCCTCTGTAAGGAGAGGTACCAGAATGTGTGGGCCGATAGCTTTCTACCCATTAACCCTTTGTGGGGGAGCTACCACGGGAAGTGGGTCGATATATTCCATATTCTCTTCAGATCTCGTGTTGATAGAAATATTGAGATGTACCGCGTTTGAAAGGAATAGGATGCTTATTTCGCGTTTCACTAGCTTCATGGCTATTCAAAATTGTGACCCGTGGTAGGGAAGGTACCAGAAGGAGTGGTCTCATATATTCCATCTTTATACCAGATCTTCTTTATATAGAAATATTGGCATGTGCCGAATTCGAAGACGATCAGACTCTTATTTCATCTTATAAGAGTTATACTTATTCAAAATTTTTACCCCTTATGGGGGAGGTACTTAATGGAGTGGGCCGATATTGTCCTTTTTTCGCACCTTACCTTCCACTGAAAAAAATATACGGTAAATTATTTTCTATGAAAATGTTGAACTTTTATGGGGGAGGTACCGAAGAGAGTGGACCGATATTTCCCATTTTCGAAATTTATCTAAGTTTGACAATAATATTACGAAGTACCAAATCGGATACTCCCTTCGAGAGTTATCGTGCGCACCAGCCAACTCGACAGATGGACGGACACCTCTAGATCGACTCCAAATGTTCTGAAACGGATTCGAGCCAAAGAGACCCAATGTCTTAATCCGTTATTTCAATGAGACACGTTTTGGTCGTATCAAATGAAATATACCCTCTGAAGCCATAAAGCTGAGGGTACAAACTCTAAGAATCGAATTTTAAATAATTCAGTTTGAAAATGTAGCTTAAAACGTCGAATACCGAAGGTACTGATATATGGGGGTTATAAGAAAACGTGAGCCGACATGGCCCATTTACGAACTTAACCTGCCTACTGGCATAATACACATGTGTGTAAAATGTTATCTTTCTAGCTCAATTCATTCCAAAGATAGCGTAATTACAACTGACAGACAGACGGACATCGCTATATCAACATCGAATTTTGCAACGGAAAGACAAAGTCAGTATGCCCTCCATAGTATGGTGGAGGGTATAAAAATTGGTCCCATTGAGTTATATTTTTGGATGTCTTTACTTATATAATTGCCACTAGTATTGACTAGATACTGAAATAATGCCTAATATCCATCAGACTTTTTCCCTTGAATTATATCTGATACTTACCTCAACACAATCTTGTTCATAGCTCGAAACAATTGTTGCTGTCTTGTTAACACTGTAGTCCAAAATGGCACACAAATTTGTCGATTCATCGGTATTGGCATATTGCTGCTCATATTCGGAGATGGAAGCGAATAATTGAGGTAACCACAGGCGTATGGTGTTATATCTGAAAGTAAGAATTTGGATCAACAAATCAGTAATTGTACAAAAAAATAAAAACCTCCACCTACCCCATCAATATTGAAAACTGCATGAGATAGACATGCAGAGCTCTTGTTAGCAACGGCTTACTGAACATGGGCTTCGTTTGTTGCCAACCATCGCGCAAACTTTGAGACATGCTGCGATGCAGGCGTTTCGGTGTTACGTCTGAGGTTTTTTCAATTGTAAAAACCGCTTCGTTGCTTACAACATCACGTGTCGGAACTTCTTCAATAAGGCGTTTGATCTATGAAATTAAAATAAGGTATTCGTTCTTGGGGAGAAAAGTGAAATGATGAGAAGCTTTTATACTAACTGGAAATGTGTTCTTGGGTTTTCGAGTATTTAGGGCATAGATTGTTTGAAATGCCCTCATAGCCTCTCCATTATGTCCTTGTGACATTAAGAATTTCGGACTTTCGGGTAGAAATAGAAGTATGACACCGCTTATGAAACTTGGCAGGCCACAGACCAGGAGAAATATCTGCCAGGTGTGTACTGGAAAAATGTAAAAATAAAACAAATGTAAGAGTTCAAATTGAGGATACGTAAAACAAAAGTCAACTATCGAACTCTTCAACTTTTGATTTCAACAATCAAGACGCGGTCTCTGTCTATCAGTTTTGACTACTTAACTAAAAATAGATTTTAGATTTTTACGTCCAAATTAACTAACTAAAAAGTCGATTTTGATTTTAGATTTATTGATAGAAATATAAACCTAAATCAAAAAAGGAAAGGTGAAAAGTCGAGTGGGGTCGACTATATAATACCCTTTACCACTATGCGTATTTAGTAGAGCTCCCGCAGTTTATATTTGGAATTTATGTGAAGTTAATATACCAACTATGAACCTTATGGCTTTAGAATAGTCACAATTTAAGAACTATATCCAACTCTGAATCGATTTGCAACAAATTTGAGGGAGGCGTATGTACCTGTATATCGAAAAATCTGAACCGAACTCGATAGAATTGGCAGAGGTATTTTGGAGCAGTATCTGAAGCCCTGTATCAAATATCATTGTTGTGGATATAACGTATATAAGGGACTTTAACACCTAATCGACGAAACATATATATGGAAGCTATAGATATATCTGAGCCGATTTTCACCACAATTTGAAGTACTTACTTTTAGGATGAATCCTGTCGGTTATGCTAGATTTCAGTCCATTTGGGCTGCTATTAGACATTTGGTGCACAAAAAACCTGAAATCGGACAGAGATATATATGGGAGCTATATTCAAATCTGAACCGATATTGACAAAATATTCACTCCTTTCTCAGCTGTATCTGATATGCGGTATCAAATATTATTGGTGTGGGGTACATATTACGCACGTGAGGGACTTAAAGCCTAAAATCGGATGAAACATATATATGGGAGCTATAGCTATATCTGAACCGATTTTCACTAAATTTAATGTACTTGCTTCTGGGATGAATTTAGTCGAAATTTCCAAGGTTCAGTTTATTTGGGCTGATATTAGCCATTTGGTGCACGGTAAACCTAATATAGGATAAAGAATTATATGTGGGAGCTATATCCTAATCTAAACCTATCTCCACAAACTTTGATATACGTATTTTCGAGCAGCATCTGAAGCCCGGTACCAAATATCATTCTTGTGGAGTGCATATTACGCATGTGAGGAAAAAAATCGCAAATCGGATGGAAAATATATATGGGAGCTATGGTTATATCTGAACAGATTTTCACCAAATTTAATGTACTTGTTTCTGGGATGAATTTAGTCGAAACTACCACGACCAGCAGAAATGGTTCGAAATGTAAAGAAGCGACTTGATTTAAACCCGCGTTTCAGTGGCCGAAAAATGGCTCGTGAGCTAAACATATCCCAATATTCTATTTGGCAAATATTGAAAAATGGGCTCGGGTTAAAGCCATTAAATTTCCAAAAAGTGCAAGAACTAACACCGCAACAGAAAGAAAATAGACACAAAAGAGCTAAAGAGTTGCTTCGCTTGGCCGAAAGTTGTGAACTGCCAACTGTTAACAAACCAAATGATCGTCTTTACTTGCCAAAGAGGTCAGCTGAAAATGTACAACTTCGGTTGGGCACCAGAACTCAAGCGCCGGCCATGGTGATTGTTTGGGCCGTCATAACAGACGATGATCGCTCTCCGCTCGTATTAATCGACCGTGGCATCAGAATAAATGTCGAATATTATCGCGAAAATATTCTGGAGAGTGTATTAAGCCTTGGGCACCCAAACATTTTGGCCACAGGCCTTGGACATTCCAACAGGACTTAGAACCATCGCACTCAGCACGCGCAACCCAAGAATGGTTACAAAATGAGGTTCCTCGCTTCATTTCCAGCGCACAATGGCCACCAAAATCTCCGGATACCAATCCGTTGGACTATTGTGTCTGGAGTATTTTGGAAAGGAAGGTTGGCACTAAAAATACCAAAGTGTCGATCACCCCAAGCAAGCGCTTCGCCGGGAATGAGCCAAAATATCGCAGAACAACATTCGGACAGCGTGTGACGGTTTCATTGGCCGTTTGAAGGCCATAATTCGTGCCAAAAGTGACCAATTCGAACAAATCTAAACTTATTATAAAATTTGATGCTATTTCCGATATTCTTTGCTTTCCTTCAATAAAAATGAAAAAAATTTAAAAATTATAGCGTTGAACTTTGTAGGAGTTTTTTTTTATCTCACACCGGTATATTGGAGCTATCTAATCCAATCTCTGTGAAATTTGACAGAGGTATTTTTGGGATGGATCTGATATCTGGTTGTTAGCGGGAGAATCAAATTCTAGAACTTGTTTGTTCGTTTGTCAGTTTAATTCTAATTTTATTGAACAAAATGTATTACTTAAGTGCTAGTACACAACAGAAATCTTAGGGGGGTTTAATCTTATGCATCTACTTAAGGCTACAAACACTTGACATTTCTAATTCTATGCATAGGCCTAATGCAACACACAATTGCTGTGATCTATATTTACTCCCCAGCTGAGCGCATGTTTATGGGAGAATATTCTTTATTATCAATGCGTCTCCAGCAGCATGAAGTGTTATCATCCCTTATGCTCTTATCTTTCATGCACACACATTTACAAGTACTCTAGAATGTTGGGTTAAAATTACATAAACATTTTATAGCCTAAATCACTTAACGATCTAATTTATTGCAGCAGTCTTTCATGTTCATAGTTTTATGAACATTTTCCCGGGCGGCAAATAATTTATTTAGACATCCTGGCCTCGGGGAAATTGAATTTCGGTTATGCGTTTTAATTTTTTCTGTCTTCTTATAAATAAAATAATTAGAATTATTATTACTATAATTACTAAAATAAAAGCTACGTGTGATGAGATGTGATGGAACTTCAAGCCTCGCAATTCCACATTTTCTTTCTTTAACTTGTCCACGAATTTCTTTAGCTCGTCAATTTCTTGATGATGATTGATAAGTATATTTCCAAGGGGTTTGATTGATTCTTTTTCGTCCGGACTTACATCCTTCAAAAGAAACGAATGGAATTCTGTGTTTATCTCGTTATGAACTCTATGCACAGCTACCAACGTTACTTTACCGATCCTCGCTGTACAGTCTGCATCCAGCGTGAGAATTCCTTGCTTTGGAAGTTCCATAATCGTCTGTTGTTTGTGAGAGCATTGCAAATGAGCTGTTGTACTTGAAAAGGTTTTAAAAAGCCAATTGCCATTTCGTTTCAATGGCATCCAATAAGGCATTCGTTCCACTTCGTCATAGGCGCAGTTTAGTTTTATGTGCGGTCTCAGAGGAGATAATTCACAATTATTTGTAGTTGCATCTCTCCATGGAAAATTCTCTTCGCACATTATCTCCTTACCCAACGTCTCTTTGCACTCATTCAGCATAGGCTGTGTTAAGAAATGAAAAGAATCCAGCTCAAAATTATATACAATGTACGGGGAATTCACCCGGGCTATCAATATCGTATTTCCTTCTTCAAATGGTATCGGAATTACTTTGTAAAACTGGGATGACTGCCGATTGAACAGCGGTATTTTTATATTAATTACCAGTTGGGACCCCACAAACGATCCGTGGCACGTCATCAAATGTAAGATCTCTTTTAATTCCATTCCTGTACGCTTTCCTGGCAGTACATATTTTTCAGGCAGAGCATCTCGTATTTTTACTATCTCTGCTTGTAATTGTTTGGGTGTTATCAGGACGGGATGAAACTTACCGCTGTTTACATCAATTAATGCATCAACAACTTCTTTTTGGACTTCGTCACATTCTTCCAAAAGCTCATGAATTTGTTTTGCTATTATAAAGAATCGTATGGATTCTCTATACACGAAGTAATTCTCATTCATTGTAGCACTTATGTTCTCAATTTTGCCTTTGATATCCGAAAAGTGCGAATTCACTTCCTCTGTGGTTTTCCTTAAAAGATTTACTGTAGCGTCGACTACAGATGTCTGTTGTTTTGCTAACTTCTTCAAATCCTTTTGGTTGGCTAATAGATTTTTCATATTGCTCTCCATAGCTACTCGATCGTCATCGTCCATTATCCCAAATGCCCAGTGTTGAAACGAACCTACAAATTTCAACGGAGCTCCTCTTTTTTGACGATTGTCTTCTCTGAGGAATAATCGATTGTTGGTCTTTATCTTATTAATCTTGAGTTCCATATTGTTAATCGTGGACCAACACTGCTCCTCAAAAGTTTGAAGTCGTGGGCATAAGCTTTTGATGTTTTCAGCAATTCGGAAGCCAGGTCTAATGTTTCTAAATATGGTTTCAGCTCAAAGTACACAACCATATTCCATGATGAGGAAACCATGTGAATTTGAGACATGGGATCCAAATATACCGCAGCCGAACTATTCAGTTCATGTACAGATGATGCCTTGGTAGATATTAGTAAAATAAGTTCAGCATCATTGCCCACGTTATTGGTTGTTTCCTTATTTTTCGCTCACATCTTGTCATATTAGTATGTGTAATTTCCGCCTGTTTTTCCTGTCTGGGCAATTCTTCAGATTCCTCGTCCATATGCTCCAATGGACATAATTTGTTAATTGGCCTCTTTATCACGCCGTCTTGTGTTTTAACTGTCACAATCCTTACAACTCCGTCCTTCCCTGGATGGACTTCTACCACCTTGGCCAGTGGCCATCGCGCCGCGTGCGTTTCTTCGTTTTCAATATCACCACATTGCCTATTTCCACATTATTATTTTGTTTCTTCCATTTCATTCGGTTTTGTAATGTGGTTAGATACTCCTCTTTCCATCTGCTCCAAAAATGACTTTTAATTCGTTGTAGCAGTTTCCATCTATTAAGACATCCTAAGTTACCTTCATCGATAGTCGCCGGTGATTCTAACATCGGACGGCCAATTAAGAAATGTCCAGGTGTTAAAGTGTCAATATATTCTGTACCGCTTCCAAGTTCATGTAGCGGCCTCGAATTTAATACTGCTTCAATCTGAGATAGCACCGTACTCAACTCCTCGTA